CCCTCTCCCAGACCCAGGGATGGGGCACGGGGGCTGCCCTGAGCCCCCTACCAGGCGCCTCCCCCCCATCCTGGGGCTGCAGCCCGGGGCCACCCGGCGGGAGCAAACCCTGGGCAGCTCGGCCGGTGCCACCACGCCGCAGCCGCCTGCGTCCCCGTCACACCGAGCTCCTCCCCGAGGACGCTGCGTAGGTGCCGACGGCCACCGTGACGTCCGGCCTGGGCGGCTCCGGCCGTCGGGGCCCGGGCACCGGGGGGGTCCCGGTGCGGTGGGGCCGCGTCTCGCTGCACGGCCGAGCTGCCCGGGAGCCGCCACGGCCGCGTCCCGGCCCGGCGCAGCCCTCTCGCGTGCCGGGTGGGAGGCGTGCGTGCCACCGCGTCACCCCCTGCACCCCACCCCGGGTGCCAGCGCCCAGCCCGGGGCCGGCGGGTGCGGGGCACCGGGAGTGTTTCATGCAGTTAAGAAGTGTCTGATTGAGGCAGGAGGCGCCAGCAGCTCCCCCGGGAGCCGCAAGTCAAGGACTGGAGGACCAAATGCAGGCTAAAGTAATCCAATCTGGGCTGGCTTCATCTAATTAGCCCAGAATTAACCCAGCAGCCAGAGAGGAGCTGACTGTCCCTACAGTTTGCCAGCGGGTTTGGGGGGGAAGCGGGAGGAAGAAGGGGACGTCCAGCGATAATGAGATTAGGGGGGGAGCGGGCGGGAGAGGACGGCTTGGCAGCATCTCGCCGGTGGTAACGTGGGGCCCTACCAGGCCTCCGCCTGCTTAATTGCTGCGCGCTGGCCGGCGCGCAGGGAGCAGGCTGTCAGCAGTGAAGGGTGGGCAGGGACCCGTTTTAATAACTCCTGCCCCCCAGCAGGAACACCTGAGCCCGGCAGGAGGCCCTGCAGGGGACAGGGATGCAGGCGCGGGGCTGGTCCGCGGGGACTCGGTGCCACGGAGGCACAGCAGCCGCAGGCGAGCAGCCCCGGGCTGCAGGTGCCCACGGGCAGGTGGGGGGACGGGCCGAGGGGCTGCCTGGCAGGGGCACTGTGGGGGCCACGGCAGCACCCAGGACAGCTGCAGGGAAGTTGTGCAGCGGGCAGGACCACGTCGCTGCATAGGGGTCACGGGGCAGGTGCCAGGACTGGTGCATCCATCCCCTGCCTGCCAGGTCGGCTGTGCCGAGGGCTGGGTGTAGCCACTGGGGAGGGGTCAGCGGGGATGCTGGGGTGCTGGGGTGCTGGGGTGTGCGGCCCTTGTGCAGCTCTGGCAGCAGCAGGGGCTGGTGCTGAGCAGGGTCAGGCGGAGTACTGAGGCTGACAGCTGATTTCCTACCCCAAGCCAGGCGAGTGCCCCCTCTGCCTTGTCCCCCTCCTGCCCGTGCCGTGCAGGTGCCGGCTCATGCAGTGCTCTGGGCTGGGGACACATCTGCTGCGCCCCGCAGGGAGCCCCACATCCAGCCCTGCTGCAGCAGGAGGGGGGCACCCACCAGGGACCGTGGGGGTGTGAGATGTGGCCTGAGAAATGCGGAGCAGTTTTGTGTGTGTGCACTGGGATATTCCCGGCCCCCTCCTATTGCAGGTGCATAGGGGGGTCCCTCGCCCAAGCTTTGCTGTGCACACAGTGCTCAGGCTCAGGGCAGGGCCATGGCACCTGGGACAGGGACAGGGACAATGCTGGCTGCGGGTGGCACAAGGGCCACTTGGTGCAGACAGGGCCAGCAGCACTGGCAGATGACAATGGGGAGGCCCTGGGGCTTGTGGGGGTCGCTGGATGGGAGACCTGCACCCCCAGCCATCGTGGCACCGGGCTTGCTGAGCACAGTGCTGACGAGGGCTCAGCCTTCCCTGTGAGCCCCCTACCCTGGAGCAGCCCCAGCCATGGTGCCATGGGAGCTGGGGAGGGGTCTCTGCTCCAGAATCAGGGAGCCAGCCCCAGCCCCCCCGGACCTCACATCTCTCCAAAGTGAGCACCCAGCGCCAGCTCTCGCCCTGAGCAGGGGCCGGCTGCTGGGGTCAGGGCACACATCACGGTGAGGCCCCTGCCAGGACCCTGGGGCTGCCACCCGGCGGACCCCCGCCGGCACAGGGCGGAGGTGACCGTGATGCAGGCAGGCACCACGGGAGCCCCTGCCCGCCCCAGGCCCTGTCACCTGCCCCCCAATCCATCTCCCGGGACCATGCAGCATTCCAGCCCCTGGGCACTTCCAAACATCTGCCTCCTGCTCTAGGTTTAATTAACCTGCTGCCGCCCGGTCCCTCCCCCAGCACAAGGCATTTCCTCCCCGCCACCCGCCCCGCGCCCGGGCAGGCGCCGCTCACGCCTGGGCCAGTGCCAGCTCCGGCCCGAGGGGCTGCTCCCTGCCCACGGCGCCCGCAGCCGCCCAGCGCCTGGGGCTGCTGCTGGAGCTGGGGGGCTGGAGGTTGGCCGCGCTCTGACAAAGGCTGGCACCGGCCAAGTGTCCCCAGCATCTGCTGGGCCAAGAGCAAGACACTGGGGGAGGCTCAGCCTGGCAGGGCACCAGGAAGGCAGCTCCAGTGCTGCAGATCGGTGTGCAGCATTCCCCTGCCCTGCTGCTGATGCATGGACCCAAACCAGTGGCACAGGGCTTGCTTGGGAGCACTGGGGACAGCAAAGTGATCGGGCATGGCAGGGCCAGCTCCTCCTGCCTGTGCACAGCTGCAGGGCTATGTTATGTGGGACAGCGTGTGCCTGGCGTGGGCCTGGCTGGGACGTGTGCGAATGGGGTGCGCGTTGTGCAGGCACAGAGGCTGGGGGCCCTGCACGGGGCGTGTGTTTGTGTGCACACCAGCAGGGGTGGGTGCAGCGCCAGGTGAGCCCCCATGGGCTGTGGGTGTGCATCGCCACGCCGTGCTCTGCACACGTGTGTGTGTGCTGTGTGTGTGTGCTCCAACGCTGTGCAGGTGGGTCAGTGTGTGTGTGTGTGTGGCTGTGCTGAGCTGTGGGGTGTGTGTGTGTGCACGCACACGGCTGTGCTGTGCTGGGGTGCACACGTGTGCAGTGCTGGGGTGCACACGTGCGGCTGAGCCATGGCACAGGGGCTGTGTGAGCACATACATGTGTGTGCGGGCGTGCACCTGCACCGTGCAGTGTCTGTGTGCATTGTGTGGCTGTGCTGTGCTGCAGGGTGTGTGCACACGTGTGTGCAGGCAGCTGGGTCCTGCTGGGGTGTGTGTGGGGGGTGTGCATCCCCACCTCCCGCGGCCGGGTGAGCGTGCACCCAGCACAGCACCCGTGCCATGACCCCAGGCCCCGAGGAGCTACCACGGCCGGGCCGGTCTCCCCACACCGCAGTGGGTCCCACTGAGTGCGGGTGTGCCCGGTGCCCACGGTGTGTGCGGAGCCCCGGGTCCACCAGTGCCCCTGGGCCTGGCCGTGCCCCCGGGATGCAGCAGCTGCGGCTCCCGGTGCTGCCGTGATTTACAGGCGCAGGCCCCGGTAATGTCATTTGCCCCAGACCGGTGGCGCCAGGGTGGCCGGGCGGCCGCCCTCCCCCGCCGGCCCCTGCCCCGGGGACGTGACCCGCCGCCCTCGCCCTGAACCGGGGCCCGCCGGGGAGCCCGGCACCCCGTCCCGGCAGCCGCGGCGCGGAACCACCGGCCCCGCCACACACGTCCCGGCCCCGCCACCCACGGCGCGGCTGTCGCGATAGTCGCCGGGAGGCCCCGCGGCCCGGCTCGCGATCTCTGCGCTGCCCGTTACCGCCCGGGGCGAGCCGCGGGGCCGGCCAGAGAGGCACCGGCAGGAGAACGGGACCGGGCGAGCCCGCCCCGACCGGCGCCGTCGCACCCCGCGCGCGGGCGGCTCCGCGGCGCTGCCCGGCCCCGGCCACCCGGTCCCGCTCCTCCGAGCCAGGTACGGGCGTGCCCCGGGAACGGCGGGGGGGCGGGAAGGGCTGGGGTCGGTGCTACCGCGAGCGGCGGGTCCGTGGGAAGCGGGACGCGTGCTGTCGGGAACGGCGGGGCTGCTGTAGCCAGGGTCAGCCAGCACCGGGAACAGTGGAAGGGTCCGTGGCCCGGGAAGGGAGGGTGCCGGGGCGCGGGATCCGTTTGCTCCGTGATCGGTGGGCTCGGCGGGACCGCGGCCGGTCCGCCCTGGCAGCGGCGGGTGCGGGGGGAACGAAGCCGCTGCGCCCCGGAGAGCCCTGGGACCCGGGAGCGGCCCCGCGCGGCCCCATGACGGCCCCGGGGCTGGGGCCCGCTCCGTGCGCCCCGGGACGCGCAGCCGGCTCGGCTCGGGCAGGGAGCGGCGGCCCCGGTTCTGCGCTCCCGGCGCCCCGACGGTCCCGGTCCTGGCCGGCTGCGGGTAGCGCCGGGGCTGCGCCGAGCCGCGGAGAGGCGCCGCGGCGCTGTCCGGTGTCGCGGCGGCGGCTCCGGTACGCCCCGTGCCGCCGTTCCGTTGCTCCGACCCAGGGAACGCCCGGCGGCAGGACCCGGGACGAGCCTCCGCAGCCGTCGCGGCGTTTCGCGGGCTGGAGCGCGGCGGTGCCGCCGGGCCCGGCCGGTGTCCGGGGGCCGGGCGGAGCCCCGTGCGCTCGGGTCCCGACGGACCCGACCGGCAGGAGCGGGGCCGCGGCGGAGCCGCTCCGGGGGCCGCGCTGCCCGCGCCGCGCCAACGGGGGTCCCGGGGCCGTCCCGGCGGACGGCGGGCCGGGCGGGGGGGGGCCCGGTGCCGAGGCCGGGAGAGGGGGGCCGGGGGGGGCGCCGGTGCCGGGGCGTGGCCCCGGGATGCGCGAGCCCCCGCCCCCGGGGGCGCGGGCTGTCAATCACGGGGCGCGGCCGCCAATCAGCGGGCGGGCGGCCGGGATTTTGGCAGGTCCAGATGGAGCGGGGCAGAAAAGCGCGTGCTGCCGGGGGGCCCCGCCGCGCCGCGCCGCGCACCGCAGCCCGCGGCCGCCCGCAGCCGCCGCCGGCCATGCCCCAGCCCCTGCCCCTGCCCCTGCCGCAGCGGGCGCCCGGTGCCAGCCGCCCCCGCCCCCGCGCCCGCGCCCGGCCGCCCGCGGCCGCCCCCCGCGCCTAGGCGGCCCCGCGATGCCCGCGCCCCGCCGGCTCTGAGCGCGGCGGGGCCATGGAGGCGGCGGCGCTGGCGCGGGAGGGCGGCGGCCCGGCCCCCCCGCCCCACGAGCCCATCAGCTTCGGCATCGACCAGATCCTCAGCGGCCCCGAGCCCCCGGGCGGCGGCGCGGGGCCGGCCCGGGCGGCGGGAGAGCCCGACTACGGGCTGTACGGCGGCGGCTACGGCCCCGCCTGCTCGCTCGGCTCCTACAACCTCAACATGAGCATGAACGTGAGCGTGAACGTGACCCCCGCGCCCGCCGCGCCGCCCGCCGGGGTCATCCGCGTCCCGGCGCACCGACCCGCGCCCGCCGCGCCGCCCGCCGCGCCGCCGCCGGTGCCCGGGCTCTCGGGGCTCACCTTCCCCTGGATGGAGACGACGCGGCGCATCGCCAAGGACCGGCTCTCAGGTGAGCGCCGTCGGGACGGCTCCCGGCCGCTTCCCTCCGCTCCGACGGCTCCCGGCGGCTCCGACGGCGCGGCGGGGCGCGCGGCTGACCGGGGCTCCGGCCGGTCCGGGCTCCGTCGCGCCGGGGCTGGCTCGCGGGGCGGGTCGCGCTCCGCCGGTACCGGGGCGCGGGGCTCCCTCCCCGGCGCACCGGAGGCCCCCGCCCGCGCCTCATCGCCGCGGTCTCCGCGCCCCGCTCCGCCGAGCGCTGCCGTGCCCGGGGCCGGGCTCTCGCCCATTCCCCGTTCCCGCTGCGGCCCCGCGCACCGGGAAGCGGCAGCCGTCGGGGCCGATAAACGGCAGCTCCGGGATGGCGCTGTCACCGGCCGCTCCACCGCCGCGCTTCTTCGGCTCCCGGTGCGCGGCGGGGACCGGCGCCAGCTTCCCGGCAGTTGCGGGCAGGGGCCGGGGTCCCGCTCCGTGGGGGACCCCAGAGGTCCCGCCTCACCCTGGCCACGAGCTCGGGCTCCGCGGCGCCGACCGGTCCCGTCCCCGGGGCTAAGGCACCGGCCCGGTCCCACCGGGAGGGCGGTGGCTGCAGGAGAGGCTGGGGGGGCACGGGGTGCAGACTGCGGTGTGTGCGGGGACGGGGGGCGAGGACCCGGGGTGTGTGTGGGGAGCGCAGCAACACCCGCCTGCATGTGGGGATGGGGCTGTGCAGGGAGCAGACACCGTATGGGGCTGCTGCGGGGCAGGGGGCCCGTGCTGTGGGGTGGCTGTGGGGCTGGGCTGTGGGCCGTATGGGGATGGGGACGGGGACTGGGCTGTGCGGGTTGCAGAACCCCATCTGTGTGTGGGTGGGGACGGCTGTGGGGCCATAGGGTGCCGAGGTGGTGCATGCCGGGGTGCTGGTGGGAGGCTGGGACGGGTGATGTGGGGGTCTGGGGGTCTGGAGGCCGGTGGGGGCTCCACATGGGGCCATGTTGCTGCCGATGGGGCCATGTGCTGGGCACCGATGTTGTGGCTGGAGTGCCTGCAGGGTGCTGGGCGAGGGACTGGGCGCTGCACCCCAGTGCAGAGGCTGCGGGTTGCTGGTGCCTGGGGTGCTGGCAGCGGGTGCTGGCTGCGGGGTGAGCGCGGTGCCGGGCAGCGCCGGCCGGGCTCAGCTCGGCTCCTTCCCAAGATGGCGGCGCTGCCACGTCCGCAGCGCGGCTCCGAGCGGGGACGAGGGCGGTGGACGACGCCGGGGCCGCGGGGGGCCGGGGCTCTGCGCCCCGTGGGGCTGGGGGGCTGGGGGCCACGGAGGGCCGAGCCCGGGTGCCGGCAGAGCCGGGTTCGCCTCCCGGCCCACGCGGGGCCCTGCGGTGACGAAGCACCGTCCCCGAGCAGGGGCGGCGGGTGACGTCCCCGTCTCCTGCCTGGCGCCAGCAGCGGGTGGACGGGGCGGCCCCTCCCCGGCACGGGGTCTCCCAGCCGTGGCCATCACTCAGCGCCGCGGCCTTGGGGTGGTCTCGGGGCTGTCGGCATCTGTTCCCGGCGAGGGGCCGCCCCGCGTGGGGAGGGGGCGCGGGGGCGTCCAGCCCCCCGCCTGCACGGCTCCACCTGCGTCAAGCGCTTCCGCCCCCGCCGGCGGGCAGCCTGGCTCCCAGCCGCGGTGGGCTCGGCGGGGTCTGCCCCGCTCCCCTCCAGCGTGGGGTGTCGGAGCCCCATGGCGGCCCCACAGCAGCCCCATGGGCCCAGCCACGTGCGGCCCTGCCCATGCGGCGCAGCGCTGGCGAGGGCTGTGGTGCCCTGGGGCCGTGTCTCGGCGGTGGGACGCATGTGCAGGGCTGGCTCCTTCCTTCTTGCTGGCGCCTTTGCTGCCCTGGCGCTCCCCGTGGCTCTGTCCCTGTGTCCACGAGGGGGGTGAAGCCCCTCCCCGGCCCCCAGGCAGCTGGTGGGCAGCCAGCCCTGACACTGCCGGTGTGCAGGGGGAGACATCAGCTGCCTCCTCGTGGCCTCCGGGGTCCCATCTGCGCCGCCAGGAGGGGTGGGAGGCCCTGGCAGGTCTGTGGTGGCTCCTCTGGGGCTGTGGCCCAGCTCGGTGCTTGGCACGGGAGTGGCTCTGTGCTGCCGGGAGCCTTGCCAGCCTTGCACCGAGCCTGGGACCGGGCCCTGCTGCCTGCTGAGGCTGGAGGTGTCCCAGCCCCCGGGTGCCGCTCATGGGGCTCGGAGAGCAGTTGGAGCTGTGGCAGGGAACCGAACACGAGCCCGTTGTGTGTTGCTGCGTGCGTCCCCAGCCTGCAGGAGCGGGATGGGGATGACTCAGGGTCTCCATCCTCACCTCCGCTGCAGCTCCCATGGAGCTCCCCTTCCCCTCACCCACTCAAGCATCCGGGTCGGGCTCTGTCGCTGCCCCGGGGCTGAGCCTGTTCCTGCCGAGCCCCTCAGCAGCGGCTCGGCCCCGGCCCCTGCCCGTGGCAGCAGCGAGGGCCGGCGCTCTGCCTGCGCTCCCCCCGCCCCGGTGCAGCCGCTCACCCCCCCTCTGCCCGCAGCCGCGCTGTCGCCCTTCGCGGCGACCCGGCGCATCGGGCACCCCTACCAGAACCGCACGCCGCCCAAGCGCAAGAAGCCGCGCACCTCCTTCAGCCGGGTGCAGATCTGCGAGCTGGAGAAGCGCTTCCACCGCCAGAAGTACCTGGCCTCAGCCGAGCGTGCCACTCTAGCCAAGGCCCTCAAGATGACGGACGCCCAGGTCAAAACCTGGTTCCAGAACCGCCGCACCAAGTGGAGGTAACGGGCCCGGGCACAGGGGTAGCCGCCTGCAGCCCCCCGGGCAGCGCCGCCCGGCTGCATCCCTCGGGGGGCCGGATCCTGCCACTGAGCCCTGGGGAGGGCTGGGCTGGAGCGGGACCGGCGGTGCCCATCCCCTACACCCGGCGGGTCAGAGGCTGTGCAGCAGTGCCAGACGGGCTGTGTGTGCTGCAGGAGGCAGACGGCGGAGGAGCGCGAGGCGGAGCGCCAGCAGGCCAACCGCTTGATGCTGCACCTGCAGCAGGAGGCCTTCCAGAAGAGCCTGAGCCAGCCGCTGCCCCAGGACCCGCTCTGCATGCACAACTCCTCCCTGTACGCCCTGCAGAACCTGCAGCCCTGGGCCGAGGACAATAAGGTGACGTCCGTCTCAGGGGTGGCCTCCGTGGTGTGAGGTCCCTGTGTGGCAGAGGGGGACTGCCTGCGCACCTTGGGGACTTTGAACTTGTCAGGAGGAGGCTGTGGGCAGCAGGAGCCTGGCAGGGTGCAAGCCAGCACCTCTGTCCCGTGGCAGGGAGGGGGCTGCTGCTTCCTGGGCACTCCCCTGAGCGGCAGCCCCCTCCCCATGCCCACGCCCCCTGGGCACTGGCCCTCTCCGGGCCCCAACGCTGCCCCAGGTGAGCGGTGGCCATGGGCAGGTGGACTCCAAAGCCCCGACGACCCCTGCCTGGAGCACCACGACCCATGGGCAGCCCCGCGCCCACAGCCTCCGGGGGAGCCCGTGCACTGGGCCCCTCTCCCCACGTGCCTCTGCCGGCCCTGGACCATCTGCAGGAGCTGCCCGCTCCCCCCAGCTCCCCGGGGCCTGGTGCCCCCCATCAGCAGCTCTCCCGGCCAGGCTGCCCCCGCTGCTCCACCACCATCCTGCTGGGGAGGGCAGAGCCCAGGGCGCAGGCAGCCTCCCCCAGACTTGCACATTCCCAGTGCTGGAAACTTGCCGCTGCCCTTGTGAGCAGGTGTTGGGGTGGATGGCGTCCTCACAAGCACCGGCCTTACCCGAGTTGGAGTTCATCATCTGGGGATCCCAGGGCTGGTGAGGAGCCCCAGCCCCTCTGTCCTCTGAGCAGACAGACAGACGGAGCTTCTCTGCCGCAGGGCAGGACCTCCTGGTGCTGCTGCCCCCACCGCCTCCTGCAGTGCTGGCCCTGGACACTGGGCACAGGGTCCCTGTACCTGCCAGCGGGCAGCAGCACCCGGCCAGAGGCTGCCCCCTCCAGCCTCTGCTCCCTGGGGACACCTCCGCCTCCTCCCCACGCTGCCTGTCCTGGTGTGGGACTGACCCCTTGGTGTGGTGAGGCGCAGAGCGTGCAGGCAGTGGGGTCTGCTGGGGTCTCTGCTGCAGAACCCCTGGTCCAGAGAACTTCTGGCCCACGACCTGGCCCCTCCTGAGGCAGGACCGGCACCAGGGCGCAGACCTGAGCCCCTCAGCCCTGCTCCAGCTCCAGCCCTGACCGGGATGGAGCACAGCTCAGGCAACGTGGTGCCGGGACACGGGGACCCCCCCTCCCGGGCCAGCTCCAGATGGGGTCCCCGGCTGCTGATGGGTCGTGATGACCTGCCTCTGCCCCTGCCCTTGACCTTGACCCCAACCCCGGCCCTATGCCCCGCCCTGCCGCTGTCCATGGTGCTGCCCGGGACCCGATGGGGCGCACGGGGGCACCCTCCAGGACCGGGGGTGCCGGCAGGGCGCTGCCCCCACCCGGGGCTTGGAGGCGGGCAGGGCGGCGTCCCGCCGGTGCCGGCAGCACCACCGGGGGGGGGCGGGCAGCCGGTGCCGGTTTCCCGGGGGCGGGATTGGCTGCGGCCCCGTGACGCGGCCCCGTTTACCGGGAGGCGGGGGGGGGGGGCGGGAGCCGCTGCGGCGCCGCCGCAGAGCCTCCGGGATGAGCGCGGCCGGCCCCGGCGGGGGGGAGGAGGACGGCTCCGCCGCCTGCGCGCTGGGCTGGCCCGGGCCCCGCTGCCGGCCCCGCTCCCGGGGCGGCGAGGCGGTGCTGCGTGCCCGCGCCGAGGCGGCCGGGTACCGGCGGCTGCTCCGCGCCCGCGCGGCGGAGGTGGAGGCGCTGCGCGGGGCCGTGGGGGCTCTGCACCGGCAGCTGGAGGGGCTGCGCGACCGCCGCAGCGGGGAGCTCGCCAAGTACCAGGTGCGGGGGGGCCGGGACGGGGGGCGCTGGGCTGAGGGGAGGGGAGGGGAGGGGCGCCGCGGGGTACGGGGAGGGGGCGAGGCCGGGGGGGCGGGCGGAGCCGGGGGGTCCCGGCCGGTCGGGTCAGCGGGGGGAGCGGGGGCGGCGCTCGGGGGGGTGGGTGTGGGGGGGAGCCGGGGCTGGGGCGGACGGGGCGGCGCGGGCCCGGCTGGCGGGGGCTGCGGCCGGGGACTGGGGGGCCGCGGGGGCAGGAGCTGGGGGGCGGCTGGGGCGGGGGTCCCGGGGGCAGCCCGGGGCCGGGGGGGTGGGGGGGAGGCGGGCCGGGGGCCGGGCTCCGGGGCGGCGCTGACGGCCCGACGGCAGGAGCGGGTGGCGGAGCTGGAGCGGGAGATCGGCGAGGCGGAGCAGGAGATGGCGCGGTGCCTGCGCGAGTACCCGGCGCTGCTGCGGCTCCGGATGGCGCTGGACGCGGAGATCGCCGCGTACCGGTACGGGGCGGGCGGGCGGCGCGGGCGGGGCGGGCGGGCGCGGGGCTCAGCCCGGGCCCCCTCTCTTGCAGGGAGATGCTGGAGGGGGAAGAGCTGCGCCTGGGCTCCGTGGCCCCGCCGTGACGGGACCCCCGGCCCCGCCCCCGCGCTGCGGGACCCCGGACTGCCGGGCCCCGCCGGACCCCCAGGCCCCCGGCCCGCTGCGCTGGGGGGTGCCCCGAGCTCCCGCTGCCCCGCGCCTCGGGACAACCCCCGGATTCCCGAGCCGTGGGACCCCCGGACTCCCGGAACCCCCCGTCCTTTGGACCCCCTCGCCACGGGACTCCCCGGACTCCGGGGACCCCCGGGCACCTGGGCTGCCCAGACCCCCGCCCCAGGAGGCCCCGGCACCCCAGGAGGGCAGCGCCCGCCGGGCCGCCCACTCTCACCAGCCTCTCCAGAGCAGCAGCAGGGCTTGGGGTCCTGGCCCCGACCTGCGCGGAAGCACCTCAATAAAGGCCCCGTGGCATTACCCAGTGCCGGGCAGTCTGTGGTGATGGGGCCGGCGTCCTGGCAGGCCCCTGCGCTCGGGGGCACCCAGCTCTGGCACCCGGAGCTGCGGCTGAGACGAGGCCCAGGGCTGGGCCGTGGGAGTGCAGGTCCCAGGGCTGCGCCCTACCAGGGCTGCTGGGGTCCTCGGCTCCCTCCTGCCTGGCTGCAGCCCCGAGCTGGAGTTGCTGTCTGGGTGCCCCGTGGGGGTGCTGAGCAGGGGTGGCATGGTGGGGACCCAGCCGCATGGTGGTGGACACTGACCCTGGGGAGCTGAGCCTCTCCTGGTGCTGGTGGCTGCTTCTTGCCCCTCCTCGCCCTGGCTGTGCCCCCAGCCTGCCCTGGGTCCTGGCCCTCCTGGGCTCAGGGCTGTTATAGGGCCCAGGTCTCTGCTCCCCACCACACACACAAAACAAAACAATTTTTTTTTTTTTTTGTAGCAAAGCCAAGCCCAGCTCTTTTATAGGGATAAAATTCCATTTTAAAATAACAAAAGTGAAAGTGAACGTTGGGAGGGGTAGGGGGGGCACCTCTGGCTACTTCTCCCAGGGGACACCGTGCCTTGGCCCCAGCTCCCCTTGAGGCCCCAGGCTGGGCATCCCTTGGCACCCTAGGGTGCGGTGGTCTGGGGGAGAGGCTCAGTGCGCACGCAGCCTGTGCTGCTGGGCTGCATCCACCACCTGCCAGGGGCTCCAGGAGCTCCAGGAGGGTTTGGCGTAGGGGTCCTGGCAGCTGATGCGCACCCGCCGCATGTGCTCCTCCACAATCGTCTCCTCTGCGCCCTCCACGAACTTCTCAACCTGCAAAGGGTGGTCAGGTCACAGCCACGGGGAGGGGGCACTGGCACAGGCACTGTGGGAGGCATTTTCCAGGGGAAGGTGCAGGGCACGGAGCTGGGGGCACAGCGGTTGGGGTCACCGACTTCCCAACCTAGACTTGGGCCGTGGTGGCAGAGGAGCAGCGGTGACAGCTGCTGGGGGGGTGGTGTGTGACAATTTCCTGCACTCCCTGTGTGCCACTGAGCAAGTACACTGCTCCTCACAACACTCCTTTGCCAAGGGGGATGCCGAGCTGGGGCGGGGGGAGCGCGGCTGCGGGGCAGGGCAGGGCAGGGCAGCGAGGCCATGGGGCAGCGTGAGGCAGAAGGGGGTAGGGCAGACGTGCAGTTACCTGGGTGCCGTTGGAGAGCTCGTACTGCAGCCGGTACAGAAGAGCAAAGTAGGACCTGGGGAGCGGCCAGGAGGCTGGGGGGGCCCAGGTCAGGCGGAGCTGCTCACTCTGCTGCTGCACGGTCAGCTTCTGGGGTGGATCTGGGCGCACTGTGGGCAGCGCAGAGCACAGCGGGGGCTGAGCACGGGGCACCGCTGCCCAGCCTGGGGCTGGAGCCCTCCCAAGAGGCTCCGGCACCCAGACCCCACCCTGAAGGTGTCTCCCACCCTGCTGTTGCTGGGTTGTGCTCACCAATGTCACGGATGAAGAAGCGGGGGGAGGTGAAGTTGAAGAAGGAGGTGTCCGAGATCCCCTCCAGGTACAGCTGCAGCTGGTGCAGCTCCTCCGCGAAGGGGCAGAAGGAGGGGTCTGTGAAGCTGGCGTTGAACTGGCCACCACGACCGGCCACCGGTACCCAGTCCCCGAAGGATCCGTTACTGTGAAGCAAGGCAGGTGTGAGCGCTGGGCAACCACTGGGGCTGGGGCCAGGGTCGCGGGTACCCACCTGTGCATCAGCCGGGCACGGAAAACGGCCGAGCGGGGCCCTGTCCAGGAGCAGCGGAAGGAGCCGCGGTAGGAGTCAGCCTGGCAGGAGACGTTCTTGGCCTCCTCCTCACCTGGTGGGGCCAGGGGACAATGGTTGGGGTTAGCCGGGGCTGAGGAATGGTGCCCCTTCCCCAAGCAGCATGGGCAGGCTGGCCCCGCGGCTGGGCTCCCAAGGGTTCTGCAGCCCTGCGCAGAGCATCGCCCACCTTGCAGGCTGTGGCACGAGCCTCCCTCATCACCTACGTGCCAGCCTGGCGTTTCCTGGTCCCCCACCTGCCCCCACACTCCCTGCATCCATCCCCACCCCGCTGTCCCACAGGGCTGTGCCGGCCCCCCTTGCCCTGGCCCCAGGTACCGGTGACCCTGACCACCACGTAGGTGGTGTCCAGCAGGACGCCGCCGGCCCAGCAGCTGTAGTTGCCCGTGGCTGGCAGGTCCAAGCCGAGGATGGTGAGAGTCTGTCCCTTGGCCACGAGCTCGGCCATGGGCTCCAGCTCTCCGTTCTGCGTCCAGGTCACTTGCTGCTTTGAAGTGTTGCATTTCACCACCACGTCCTTGTTCAGGCTCTCCACCACAACTGGGGATTAGATGCAGAGGCTGGGGTCAGGGGCAGGTCTGTGCTGAGGGCAGCTCAGCCCCTGCGCCCTCATCCCAACCCCCCAGATCCACCCTTCCCCATGGTCCCCAGCCTTCTCCATCATCCCCTGTCCCCCCCATGCCCCCCAGCCCGTAGAGCTGCCCCAGTCCCGTGCTCACACAGCCCCGTACCAGAGGGATTCGGGTGCCCCCGCTCCCTCCAGCTGCCGTGGGTCCTGCAGCCCTCCCCATACCAGGGTGCCCCCCTCCCTCTGCCCCCCCCACAGTGCCCAGGCAGGGCAGGACTCACACTTTGGGGGAAAGGCAGTCAGGGCTTCCGTGGGGGTGAGGCACAGCACCAGTCCCACCAGCATCAGCATCTGGGAGGGGAAGGGCAGCGCTGGGGGAAGGCAGCCCCGTGCCAGGCAGGCAGGCAGCCGTTCCCACAAGAGGAGCCGGGGCAGGGTGCGGCCGGCAGCGCGGGCGAGGGCACAGCAGCCTCAGCCAGGGTGGCAGCAGGTTTGGGCAGGAGGGAGGGAAGCGGAGCCGTGGGGGCAGCGGCTGGGAAAGCCCCGCACAGGGTGGGCGATGGGCGCAGCACCCGGCCCTTCCCCGTACAGCCCCCGGCAGGAGGAGCCCCCTGCCTCCCGGTGCTCCCCAGCCCCCGAGGGACCCCCGCTGTGCCTACCTCGCCGGCCATGGTGTGCACTGCTCCTGCTGGCTCTGCACGGGCTGGGGCCGGTGAGCGGGGTATATACTGAGCCGGGACCCTGTGGGGCTGCCCCAAGGTGAAGCCAAACCACAGAGGCATCAGAGTTCTTAGAAGAGGAGAAAGCTGTGCGGGGTGGAGCGGGGTGGAGCTGTGAAGCGGTACCCACGCTCGCTCTCCAGCCTCGTCGGGTACGGGTACTGCCCGTGGGCAGCAGGAGCTCCCCAGTGATGACAGGTTGAGAGCAGCGGGGACCCCCTCACGGGGGGGGGGGCCCTCTGAGGGGCTGCGGGGTGAGGGGGTGGTGTGAGGCCCCCCAGGACGGTGCCAAAGCCCTGGATGCTCTCAGCTCCCCCAGGGTGCTCCTGAGCTCAGGACCAGCTGGAGAGTTTGTGCCAAGCACCCTCACCGTGCGCCCTCGGGAGAGCAGGGAAGGGACGGAGAGCTCCGAGCTCCAGCAGCACCGGGCCTGGGGGCGCGCAGCCTGGAGGGGGCACGGCCCCAGCCCCGGCCACAGGCACAGCAGGGAAGGGGCAGGAGCCCACCCTCAGGCAGGAGCCAGCCCCTGCCCCTGCCCCGCTGCCCGCCCCAGGTGCCAGCAGCCACCAGCCCCGCACCCAGCGCCTGGTGGCCCGGCTGTGACAAAGGGACAGAGGCCAGAGGGGCGCTGCCATCCCCGGCTGGGAGCAGGGACGAGCCCCTGCCCAGAAGGAGCTGCCCCGGCACCGCCACCAAGGCAGGGACAGGGATGGGGGTGCTGCTGGGGGGCAGGGACGGAACAGGGGGCAGCAGCCTCGGGCAGGGGTGGCTGCAGCCCCCGTGCTGGGGGCACTGCGGTGCCAGGCTGGGGAGCACGGGGAGCGCGAGCTGCACCCACTGCTCCCGCTCACGTACTTTCTGGGGTTCCTAGAAAGCAAGGGGGAAGTTCAGGCTCCAGCGTGGCCGTGGGTGGGGGGGAGGCCCAGCCATCACCTTTCTGCTCAGCCTTCGAGGCGCTGCGGCGGAGGACGGAGCCTCCGTGCCCCTTCCCAGTAACAGCAGAACCCCCGCCTGTGGCAGCAGGGGGGCGAGCAGCACCCCCCCAGTGCTGGGGGCAGCTCAGGAGCACAGCACCCCCACCCCTCGGGGCCAGGACCCCCACCCTGCCCCCCGGCCTGAGCTCACTGCTGCAGCACGGGGCAGGCTCGTGGAGGCAGCGATGCTGGGGGGGAGCCCCCACGGCAGGGAGGGGACCCTGAGGGCAGGGGGAGAGGGCAGCAGCTCCCCCCAGCGCATCGCCCCCTCCGGGGAGCAGGGAACTGGGCTGTGATTCCAGCCTGCCGCCCGCCCCCGCCGCCAGCCACAGCTTCCCCTCTGCTTCTGCAGAAGAGAGCACACCCGCAGAGGGGAATACCCAGCACAAAGGCCAGGGCTGCCCCTTGACGGGACCAGGAGCAGCGGCGCAGTACCCAGAACTGGAGGCAAGTTGGCAGGAGGGGGATGCATCACACTCAGAAACCCCCGGGCTGGGGACAGGAGGCTGGGCTGCGAGGGGTCAGTGCTGGTGGAAGGGAGTGAGGTGAGAGCCGTGGCCCTGGGGGAGGCAGGACCCCAGGGAAGCCCACCCTGCCCCCAGCCCCTTGTAGTGCAAACACCACGCAAAGCCAAGAGCAAAGGTCACAAAACTTTATACAGGAGAAATCCACAAGCGGCCCCACAGCCCCTGAGGGTCTGCCCCCACCTGTGGGGAGGAAGAGGGGCAGGGCCAGCAGACCCAGGGGAGGCTCCCCACCCCTGTCCAGGTCCAGGACGGGGCCAGCGCTCCCCAAACCCGTGTGTTTTCCCTGGGGACAAAGGCAGGGGCCAGTCCTGGGGCACGACCGTAGTGTGGAGCTGTCCTAGCAGCAGAGAGCCTGCACCTCCCCAGGACGGGGGCAGCCCTCGTGGCAGCGCCGTCTCCCCGGGGCTCTCTGTCCCCGGCTGTCCCAGCCAAAACCAGGTGGCTCGAGTGGCTCCCGCTCACTGCAGCACGCAGACGTCCTGGTTCTCATCGTCCTCCCTGCCAGCCGCCTCCTCCAGGGGCTCGGGCACCTCCGGGACCTCCTCTGCAGCCACCACCTTCTCTCGCAGCTCCATGAGCAGGTCCCGGCTCTCGCTGGGCGGCAGGTTGCTCAGGTAGTACTGGGGTGCCAGCTCCACCAGCCTGCAGGGATGGAGAGTCAGGGGGGGCAGGCGGCCCTGGGGTGCGTGCAAGGGGCTGGTGGGGGCAGCCTTGCACCCCCCAAATGGGAACAGCCACCCCATGGGGACAGGAGGCCCAGGCATGGCCCTAGGGTGCTGCCAGAGCCCCGGAGCTAGCTGTGGACGCAGCCCGGGCAGGACCCAGCCCTCCCCAGCCCTGAGGTCCTCACATCTGGGGCTGGATCTCCGAGACCACGCGGAGGCAGTTGTCCTGCGAGATGGTGAACTCGTGGTACAGGACCCAGGGGGGCAGGCGCCGGGGGGGCTGGCGCAGGAGGTAGCAGCAGGAGGGGGGCAGGTGGGCCACGTGCTTGTGCGTCAGCATCACGTAGTTGCCGGAGCCATCGATGTCCCGAGCTACCTGGGGAGCGAGGGGGGAGCGAGGGAGGGTGGGGGCTGCCTGGCACTGCCCCGGCCCCAGCCAGGCGAGCCCCCCGCAGCCCCCCTCACCTTGAGGAAGTAGCCGGAGATGAGCGCGCGCTGGATGTTGAGCACGTTGGCGTCGGTGCCGAAGGCGGGGGGCGAGACGGGCAGCTCGATGCGCTGCATCACCTCCAGCAGCTCGGCCCGCACGATGCCCGCCAGGCGCAGCGCCTCCCCGCTCACCCCGTGCTTGCGGCACCAGCCCTCGTCCGCGTTGTCTGCGGGGAGAGCAGGGACGGGGCTGCACGGGGAACCCGCCCCGGGCTGGGAGCGCCCTGCAGCCAGCCTGAGGCGCCCGGGGGCTGTCCTGAAGGCAGCTCCCGTGCCTGCCCCGAGGAGCGAGGGAGCCGTGAGATGCGGGCAGGTGCCTCAGCACCTCCTGGCCCAGCACTTACGCTGCTGGAAGGCGTTGAAGATGTTGATGAGGGTGAAGTGGTCTCCGGCCGGGTGGAGCAGGGCCCGCCGGCGCGTGGTCACCGCCTCCTCCAGGCGCGTGGAAGGGGGCACAAAGCAGGGGGGGACTGGGGACGGCACAGGGGGGAGGTCACCGTGTACTGCCACGGCCACGCTCCCGGTGCCAGCTCCTGGGGGCTACGCTGTGCCCCTGCCCCCCGCCCCGTGCCCCTGCGGGGTACCTGTGAGCATGGCAGCCAGGCTGACCATCTCCTCCACGCAGTCGAACTCGCAGGAGGCGATGAGCGCCTTGGCCAGCTGGGGGTCCAGGGGGAACTCCGACATGATGATCCCCACCTCCGACAGGTTCCCGTCGTCATCCAGCGCCGCCAGGTAGTCCAGGTCCTCCAGCGCCTGCATCAGTGACTCGGGGGCTGGGGCAGGACATCAGCCGGCTGCCGGCGCCAGCGGGGCCAGGCAGCCCTGCCACCCCCCCCCGCGCTCCCGCAGACCCCCAGACCCTCTCCAGAGGGAGCCCGGGCCACGGCTACGGCCACGTCCAGCCCCCAGCCCCTCCTGCACGGCCACCCCCAGCACTCCCTGCCCTGGCGCTACCTGGCCGGTCGAGGAAGTCGCACTGCCCCATGTCGGCGATGTCCAGGCGCTTCAGCAGCAGCACGAGGCGGCTGAGGCTGGTCTCGCTGACGTGGGGCGCGGGGCTGGGGGGCATGCGCTGCTCAAAGAAGGCCTCCGAGTAGAGGCGCAGGCAGGTACCTGCGGGACGGGGGCCGTGAGCAGGGGCAGGGCAGACGCCACCTCCTGCTGGAGGCGCACAGGGACCCCCCCGCACGCACCCTGGGGGCTGCCGGCAGCTCGCTGCATGCGCGACTTCCGCCTGGCTCCTGCTGATGGGCCGCAGCACCTGGGACTCTGCCCGGATCCGGGGGTTGTAGACCTGCAGGGTCACAGGAGGGAACCCGCAGATGAGCCCCTGCCCTCGCCGAGGCTCCCCCTGCCCCACCGGTGTGGGGACTGGGCCGTGCATGCAGCCAACCCCAAGCCCGGCCTCCCCCCTTGCCGTGCTGCCAGCTCGCCCTGGGGCAGAGCCGGGCTCCCCGTCCCCGCCACACTCACGCTGCGCAGCTCCAGCCCCGTGTCGATGACAAAGCGCACGCTCCCCAGCGAGAAGGACGAGTCCCCGAGCCAGTGGGTGACCACCACCCGCCGCTCCCGGCCGCCCTCCTCCAGCGCCTCGTACACCTTCTGTGCCGCGCGCCCGACACCGGGGTGCAGGGGCAGGACCAGCAGCGGGCCCAGCCCCGGGTTCAGCGCCACGGCTTCGGTCTGGATGGCCCCGCAGCACTCGGTGATCTCCTGCGGAGGACAGAGGAACAAGTGATGCTCCAGCAGCGCCCAGAACAGCAGCACAGCCCCACGCCCACCTGGCCGCCCTGGGGGAAGGCCCCAAGAACCCACTGCACCCACAGCTGAGGTGTCCCAGCCCAGGGCACACCCTGCACCTCTCCTGGGGCTTCCCCATGCCCCCACACCACCTCCCTGTTTCCCCTGCAGCAGCAGTGCAGAGCTGCCCTGAACACCCAAGGCCTGGGGTGCCCCAGCCCCACCTGCTCGCTG